ATACTCTACCGCCCCCTTAAATGATTGGCATGAAAGAATGAGAGAGAACAAAGCAATTCAATTTACTGGCGCGAAAAAATGTCTCAAATAACCAATTTACAAATCTAGACATGACGCAAAACATTCAACAGACGTCAACATCTAAATTTAGCTTAATTTAAATCATTTTGTGCCAAAACGAACAAAGGAGGTATGAATCTAAACATGGAGCTCAAGAGATGAAAAGCTCGAACAAATTCAGGATGGAAGGAACATAACTTTGATGACACAGAACGGATCTCCAAGACTACAGCAGTCTCTGGTGACGCTGGACAAAGCTAAATATGATCCATGGTGAAAAGCCATATAGCTTAACACAGTTTTAATCTAACAAACGGGCATGGCATCACAATATACAATGCAAGTAATCAACATTGATGCTCACCGACTTTGTCCCTCCAGAGCGAATAATTAAAGAGATACATTTCTGCAAGAAACATACATTTCTGCAATAGAAATGGGGCAAGACAAACCACAGTACTCGTCACATGGCAAATTACAGAGGTGTCAAACTCTACAAAGCGATAGATAACAGCTGAAACTATGCAGAGCTCTGACCTCTAACAGTCTATTGGCTCCACTCTACTTTTAAAAAAATCATCCTGATAACACAACATTAAGTGCCCTTCAAAAACAAGTGAAGAGCAAAATAAAAGGTTAAGAGGCTGCAATTCATGAGAGAACAGCAAATGTAGAAATGTCACGAGCTGTAGGAGTCCTTGTAGGCCTGTCACCGGAGTCAAACACATTTTGTTTTTTCTCGTGTCTGACGTCACGTGGCTTGAAGCAACCAATCAACAAAAACCATTTGCTAGGCGAATGGTTGGAAGAAGATAAACAATGGTGTGACTACAGGCGGATTTTTCTTGCCTCGCACTTTGCACTCGTTAATTGTAATTAATTTTCAAAACTTACTGCAAGAAACATCTGTGAGAACATGAACTTAAAAGTACAACCATGGAAAAACAGGAAGACAAAAGTAGCTGGTCACATTCAAAATGCTCATTGGTAAAGGCAAATCCCTCTGATATTGATACCATAGTAACAATAGAAATACATGCACATATGTTATGGAATTAAGGGAATTGCAATAAATTATCAGCCAAGATTTAGAGACAATATCACATGGAACAAAGAATAACAAATTAAAAAATTAATAATAATTTGGGACAAGAGCAATGGTCTATGAAGTAAAATATGCCATATTATTGGTAATTTTTTATGCAAATTCTCTATGAAAAAAAACTTGTGAAGGAAGGGTAAAGTAAAGCTATCTTCAATACACTGTATGTTAATAACTACTAAGTTGCAAGAGGAGGTTAAGATTTGAAAGAGCTGCACAAATAAGCACAATATTGTTTGCATTGTGCCATTCTGTAGCTGGGATGACACCTTGCAAAATCCTAAAATTCTTTTTTTGTTCCATTTTACGTTCAACGTGAATTTTCATGGTGACAATTCTCCTTGTTTGCTCAACCTCCTGCCTTAACAGTTGTCTATTTGATTCCTGTTTGGGAGGCATGTTAAGGGTAACACCTAGTGGATCCAATAAATCTTGATTTGTGGACCCCTTGTCGGCCATCACACTGTCACCTTTCTCAAGTAGATTCAGTATACCAGTTTCCTTAACAATCTGCTTGTCAGATGCATTACCTCCCCACAACTTTGGCAAAAATGTGACTACTCCTGTAGGACTAATACGAACTAGAAGCTTAAATGTATTATGTGACTTGTAACTTGAGTATGTTATTGTTTGGTTAACTAAGGAAGAAGGAATCTCGTGAAAAATTCAGTACAGTCTATTACTACTTGAGTATTAGGGAATTTCTTGAAGCATTCTGGCATATTGGCTGCAGTAATGTCTTTGCCTGGCCACACAATCAAATGCTTTAAATACTCGGCAAGCAAATTGTACCAGGTAATCAGAACACACGAAACTGTACTAACTGAGACACAAAATCTCTGTGCCAAGTCCTGTTCCAGTAGTCCAAGCCTGAGCCTCATGAACACCATCAAATACTCCTCCACAAGTCTCATTTTTCTTTGAGGACCTGGCCTCTGCTTAACATTATCTTCCAAATATTCTTTATGCTTTAGTGAATCCTTTCCATTCCAATAATTTGTCTTTCCATCTATCTGTGATATGCTGGTAAAAATTACCATGAATGTTCCAAAATTTATGAATCAAGTGTAAAAGCTGGTTTTTGGGTACTTGGCTTTAAGGTCCTCTGCTGTAAGCAAAGGTAAATTCACCTGTATTCCAACATCTTTCATTTCAGTTTCCGTTTGAATACCACTGTCAACACAATCGTAACAAAGTTGAACACCTGTATCTCTTGATCCATCCCTAGAAATATCTCCAGAGGCAAACGCACATACCTTGGCAGGGATATAGTCATGGAAACGATCAAAGTTTTTTCCAGTAGTTTTCGATGAATCTAGTGGTCCACCTGAATCTTTTAAAAGCTCTCGACAAGTTCGCACTTTCGAACATGTTAACGATTCCCCTGATCTGCTAGGTGAAGGAGTATTCCGTTGATGAGATTTCGGGGCTGGCTTCCAGGGGAACAATGTCAGGAACTGACACCACAGCTTTGGGCCTTCTCTGCCTTTGAAATGCAAGCTGCAAACCCTTGTTCCAAGCTTTGCAGAAAAGTTTTGACACATGTTTCTGAGCCTAGTGATCCAAATCCTTCTTGCTTTACTATCCTTTGGAAGTTTGTGAAGTTTTACTGTCTTTCCATTGATGACTTTGCCACTATAACCGTGGCAAAGTGGGACACAGCAATAAGTTACTCCTCTGGGAACTGTTTCCTTTGCCGCCATATTGGAAATTGTACTTACCCTAGCCTTGCTTTTGAGCTACGCGTTCCCAGATTCCTCTGTGATTCAAATATCTTGGGAAAGGGCTATTGAGAACAAAGGTAGTTTTATAACTAAGTGTTACTTGTGTTGTTTCTAATTGTTTTTGCTCTTCAATTGTGACTTTTCTTGCATGCAAAGTAACATATAAAATCGTGTTCTTGTGTAAGATATATATAAAATAAGTTGGCGACCAAAATTTATGATCTGGTGAACAAAATTTTTCCGTTAGTCGCCAGCTGGTTCCCGGACGAAAAAGTTAATTTCGAGCCCTGGACAACGTAACACCACTTTTGCAGGAGGACAAATTAGCATGGGAAAACCCCATTTCCACAAACGATTGTTTGAATGCACTGAAAGAATTCACTAACAATAAAACACCTGGGACTGACAGCTTTACTTCCAAGTTTTACAAATTCTTCTGGCCGGAGCTGTGTACTGAAATGATTGCGAGTTTCAATTATACATTTCTTTTAGGAACCCTGTTTATTAGTCAGAGGCGAGACATAATATCACTCATTCCTAAAAAGGATAAGGACACATTAAAACAAAAATTACCGAAAAGACCTGAATGGAGACAAAAATTTAATTTGGAGATCCCCTTCACCCTATACTACGGGCTTATATCTACCATTCCTAAAGAATGGAACTCGTCTTTAAAAGACGCCCTCTCCAGGGACAATGACATCGTTGAAACACAGCTAGCATTCGTGCAACAGTGTCTACCTTTTCTCCTTTTGATAGCTGCAGTCTTTGATGACTCTTCTGCTGCAGAAAAAATACATTACACTGTTGTAAGCCTGAGTGCTTTGATACATCGCCTTAAGTACAATATTGTAGTTCAGAAAAAAAAATCAGGGACCACTCCGTGTTGTTGATATCAGTTATTATGTTTGACGAATTAGATGAAAGCCTATTGTGGTGGTTTTGTCCCTACATACCAAGAACATTTGAGATTTTTTGGCCAAGGACTGTCATTCACCCCTCGGGGTTCAACCTTGTTTTTCATCCTGTTGTGTTTCGCATTTTTTTCAACCAACCCGGAGAATTGTTACGATAGTCAGATGGTTTTGAGGCTCAGGAATTGACGAAACTTTGGTTTCACATAGAGAAAAGAACCCAGATTTAATGTTGTCTAACTGAAAGTTAACAAAATGGGAGCTCAGAACCTGGAAGTTACTTAGAAATCTTAAAATTGACTTTGTTTCTCATTGTTTATGTGTGTACTGAGATTGCTGAACAAATAATTGCACAAAAGAAAATACCGATTGAAAACTACATCTGTTGTGGTGATTGTAATACACAGTGAACATGCTGATTTTAACATACACGGCAATTTGCCAAATCTGCAAATAAAACTGAAACGTTTCAGAATAAAACGCAAAAGGACACAAGTTGCTAAAGCTTGTTGCCATCTAATAGAACTAATTTGTTAACAAGATTTGACAAGATCTTATACAACATGTACCAACCAAACACATTTGCTAAATCTGTAATTACTTGTAACATTCTTTATCGATGGCTAAGGTTAATTTTTTGGGCATAAATGAAGAAAGCAGGTATTTACTTATGTTACTTTCTTCGTAGGTACTCTCCTCTTTGTCACTGCTCCCCTTTTTGACGTAGCTTTCCTCTGTCACCGCCGTTCTCTTCATCACTGCTCTCCTCTTTGTCGTTGGTCTTCACTTTGTCGGCACTTTCCTCTTTGTCGCTGCCTTCATCTTTCTCGTTGCTCTCCTCTGCGTTGGTGCTTTCCTCTTTGTCACTGCTCTCCTTTTTGTCCCCACCTTCATCTTCTTCATCGGTACTTTCCTCTTCACCACTGCTCTCCTTTTTGTCGCCGCCTTAATCTTCTTTGTCACTCTTCTCTTCGTCGGTACTTTCCTCTTCGTCACTGCTCTCCTTTTTGTCGCTGCCTTCCTCGTCGCTGTCCTCTTTGTGGGTACTTTCCTCTTCGTCACTGCTCTCCTTTTTGTCGCCGCCTTCCTCATTGCTCTCCTCTTCGTGGGTACTTTCCTCTTTATCACTGCTCTCCTTTTCGCCGCTGCCTTCCTCTTTGTCGCTGTTTTCCTTTTTGTTGCCGCCGTCCTCTTCGTTGCTACTCTCCTTTTTGTTGCCGCCTTCCTCTGTTGTTGCTCTTTGCTTTGTGGCCACTCCCTTTGTCGTCACCACTCTTTTCTTCGTCTCCGCTCTCCTCCTTTTGGTCCCTCTGGTTGTTGCCAACCTTGTTTTCTAATTTGTAAGCAAAACATTACCCTTCAAAAACAACTCGGTTAGAAAAGCCAAAGTGAAAGACAGGGCAACAAGGATTTTTGTGACACATCATTTAGAAGAAAGCTTGAGAAGTTGTTCAGTACAACTCGTTTTACAGTTTCTTTACCATTACAACCTCACCTTCATTATTTAAAAAGAGGTAAGGCGTGGCATCAAGTTCCTATTTTTTCCTATGTTGCTGCCTCTTTCCTAATTTTTTCTATCTTTCGAAAATTTCAAAGATGCATGCCTTCTTGCTTGTTTTCAGTAACATTTTTTCCTTTAAATCAGGAAATCGTTCCATTATAACGACCATTGTGAGCTTGACTGTTTTGATTAGACTCTAAATTTTAAACTTTATCATGCCAGTACCTTGCACTTCTGGTTCGTCCCGCTGTACGCTGACAGGAAAGGTTATTTTTGTATCCGCAGGAAACGTCCTCCTGGTGTAAGTTTCATCGGCTAGGCCAACAACTTCTCTGCTGTTTAAAGTATTACACATCGAGTAGAGGACGTGGAAGTTGCCAAGATTTTCCTTGCCTTGTGCGACTACAACATTGTTTTCTATCAGCCAGCATGTACTGGTTGAACCTTACAGAACGCTCTTAAGACTAAATGCTTTAAATTCAATTTGACTGTACATAGTCTGAAACATTCGTGTTATCTATTAAGATCTAATATGCTGTATTAATTTGGTTTGTCACTAAATACTGTCCGATTACAATATAATGTAGTGTCTATATCATATAAAGAATATGAACAATTGTTAGGATTGGTTTCTTAACTATTTTCAAGCCATAGGTGAAAATTTGTAACATTGTACATCTTGACTGCGCAATTATCACGCGATAATACCAAGTTAAGATGGATAACACTCCAGTAATTAAAAAATAAAATTGATTTAACCAACGGTTAGGTTGCAGTGGGAACTGCAAGTAAAATGTTTTAGACCGATTACACACACTGTCAATACTCACATATTACGGAAACTTCTTTCCTGCTCTCATTGACTTCATCTGTGAAAATTGGAATGAGGATACATCAGACAGTGCTGTCATCTTGTAGACCGCAAAATGCAGAGCAAGTATCTAACTAACACTACATAGGATTGAAACTGTGCTGTGGAACAAAATAAACCATAGCACTTTCTCTTTAATGGACAGCTGGTAGGTTTTAGCGTTTATCATCACCTGGACTCCTTTTATTACGGGAGTCTTAACACTAAGAGTTTCTCATGAATTTGCGTTGTTCCCACTATCCTGATGGGTGGATTATTTCGTTGTCATGTGAAATTTCTGGTGTGATATTAAGTTTTATATCTCAAAATGGCTCGCAACAGTTTAAGTATTTACACAATGATGCATCTTGGGCATTGGATTATACCTACAGCAGTAATGTTAAGTGAAAAGGTTCAGCGTAGGTTTGTAGAGACTTATCTGATGAACAGATTTAGGTGGCTACGACATCAAAATCTGTTTCTATAGCAACATTTAACGAAGTCAAAAAGAGACCCTTTTTTAACCTTTTGAGGCTAATAACTTCAAAATGACATGAAATGTTTTGATTTTCATATATTTAAGGCTGGTCAGCGTCAGAAATTGTTTGACTATCAATGGGGTTGAAAGACAGGTCACTTTACACAAATTTAAGGTGGCCCGTACGCCCTGACCGATTTATTTAGAAAAATTTTCAAAATATATTTCTAGCGATTAAACAAGAATATATCGAAAACAAAAATTTTTACCGTATAGTTTTTAATTTATTTGCTTCCAAAAGTTGAAAATAGGGTCATCTGGGCTCTTGATGTTGCCATGGCAACATATAGTAACTGAATTTCTTTTTCCATAAACCTGCACTAGATGTTTTAGTTGTCAAAATTGAATGTTAAAGACATATAATAATAATGATAATAATAATAATAATAATAATCTTTTATTGAGGAAACTTTTTCACGTACATGTGGTTTTCAAAAAGGACCTCGAAGATTAATACTAATTAATAGAACTAAAAATATGAAATTTATAAAACACTTAAGTTAAAAAATTAAAAACCTGTCTCTTAAAAATATTCACATTAGCAGAGTCTCATATTATCTGGCTGAGAGAATTAAAATCATTAACAGCGTGATAGGCAGTTCTTTGTTTTCTCCAATTCGTTCTAACGCAGGGGAGTCTAAGATTGACTTTATGTCTGGTGTTATAATTATGCTGATGTTGTTGTGTTACTAAAGTCAATTCATGATTTATGAATCCAGTTAGACATCTGTATACATGCACACATCTTCGCTGGAAATGCCTTTTCTCTAATGGTATCCACTTCAGAGTCGCTAACGGATGCGATGCAGATAAATACAGCGGTCAATCTAAAATTATTTTAGCTGCTTTATTTTGCAAAACTTGTAGGCTAGACATGATGGCAATGTTTAACTACTTCAATCTACCTTAACTGCTTCATTTAAGATATTGTTGAAATACCCCAACAGGTATATTGATTGCATTAGTAGCTGTTCAGGAGTTAGTAAGACTTCGTAGAATAAGGAAAAAAAGATTCTACGATCAAAGTCCTGGTACCTCTTTTTACCTAGCGAGTTCAACGTACTCAAATCCCTGATGAAACAAACAATCCAACATACTGAAAAAATATATATTTATACATTTTAGGAGATTTTTTAAATTTTTACAACTCACTAACTTCAACATCAGGCACGTAACCAAGGGCTACAGAAAGAAGAGGAACAAATCAGTGGAACTGCCACAGTATTTAACATTGCACTGCATTGGAGGTTGTGTAATAAAGATATCTTGGCAAGAAATTTGATTCAGTCTAGCTGTTCTGCAAACCCTCACTTTTCATCTCTAATTCTGTAGTCACTATAGTCTTTAACAAAGGTTCCTGTATAATCTTTTTAAGATCACTGTTTTACTTCTCCATACACCCACGAGAGCGATCATAATGGAAGACAGCTTGTACAATACTTGTTTGTAAACGAAAAATAAAACTTGGAAAGTAAAGTGAAATGTTTATATGAAAGTTTCAGAGGTTCTTAGGCGACAACGATGTTTTGGGCGTAGCCCTTCTTCAGGTCGTAAACTGTTACCACTACAGAAGCATATATGTTTATGCTTATATGATTCTGATTAACATTAACAATGATGATGAGGAGGCTGCTGCTGCTGATGATATTACGGTGAAAACTGTAAACAGGCCCATTTTTGACCAAAAAATGTTTCACTTTTTTTAAAAATTTGGTCTGGCCAGTTGATAGCATGTGAAAATTTTGATATAGTTTATACTTACCAGAGTCTAGTCTTTTCCTCAAATGTGAGGGCAGAGCGGTCCTTCGAAAAGTGAAAGCCCGTTGTTTGTTTTTTTGGCCGGCAAGGTCTGAGGAGAACTGCTGGTTCACGTTCGTCTCAGCCAGACCACCCTCCTTTACTGCAGTCAGTATGGCTTGTCTGGTAAGTGAACTTCCAGTATCCGACAAAACATTGAGCCCCTTAGTTCTTGCCATGGCATGACCAACTGAGATTTCGAAGTTATGTCAAAAACAACATTATCCTTCTTTATGGGGAATGTGTTTATGCTGATACAAAACCTTGTTTTCCATATTATGTTTCTCAGAAATTTTAGTGGTATCCCTCTTAAATCCTGCTGAATTCGGATTTAGCGCGAGCATGACAAGAATTGCAGAGAAAATCTCGCCAAAAATGGCACCGAAAATTGCTGTGCAAATGAGCCTTATGGCGTACCCTTTTAGTTATCTCACCTCGTTGGTGTCCATAAAGGACAGAGTGCCGAGTAGATGTTCACAAAATCAAGCTGAACTGTAGTTGATTTCTCCTCTGCACTAGGTTCATACCACTTTTCTTCTTCCTTCTGATAGTTCTGTACCGTCTGTGGTACGTTCTCTTTGAAAAAATTCCATAGAGCCTGGGGATTTGGACATGATTGAGTACATTTCTCTGCAAGCTTCTCATGCAGGTATTAGTGAAAAAAAAAAAATTCAAAAAGGCATTACCGCTTGACCCAAGCAATTATCTATCAGTGTTATTGCTTTAGTTGAAGGTTATGGAACACTTAAAATATAATTGCCACTAAATCTTTCTTTGTCCTGGGAGCATCTATTATACAAGGGACTCTGCCTATCTCACATATTTTCTACAAAATCAGGTTCCATGGTTGATTTCTCCTCTGCACTAGGTTCATACCACTTCTCTTCTTCCTTCTGATAGTTTTGCACCATCTGTGGTACGTTCTCTTCGAAAAAAATCCCATAGAGCCTGGTGATTTGGACATGATTGAGGACATTTCTCTGCAAGCTTCTCATGCAGGTATTAGTGAAAAGAAAAAAAATTCAAAAAGGCATCGCTTTACCCAAACAATTATCTATCAGTCTCATTGCTTTAGTTGAAGGTTACAGAACACTTACACAATATAGTTGCCACTAAATTTTTCTTTGTCTTGGGAGCATCTATTATACAAGGGACTCTTAATATCTCACTTATGTTCTACAAAATCAGGCAGAACTGTGGTTGATTTATCCTCTGCACCAGGTTCATACCACTTCTCTTCTTCCTTCTGATAGTTTTGTACCATCTGTGGTACGTTCTCTTCGAAAAAATCCTATAGAGCCTGGGGATTTGGACATGATTGAGGACATTTCTCTGCAACCTTCTCATGCAGGTATTAGTGAAAAGAAAAAAAAAATTCAAAAAGGCCTTACCACTTGACCCAAGCAATTATCTATCAGTCTCATTGCTTTAGTTGAAGGTTACAGAACACTTAATATATAGTTGCCACTACATTTTTCTTTGTCCTTAGAGCATCTATTATACAAGGGACTCTTACTATCTCACATACCTCAGGTGATATGAGCTGGGGAGGGGGAGTTAGGGAAAAACGACATGTCTGGCGTCTGTTACTTTGGAACATGGAGTTTGTATTAGTGGTCACTTTCTATTTTGGACTCTTATCTGTCATCGCCTTTCCCCCCACAAAAAAAAAACTGAACTGCATGTGAATTAAATTTTGGGTGGCCGCTAAATGGGGGTATAGACAATAGAAAAACATCTTCGGAACGACCAAAAGGTGGCGGCGGCCTAGAGGTGGCTGCCTTAGATTGTTGCAAAGACAAGAACACAGACAAGGCAAGAACTACTTTTAGAAGGACATGCATTCCTAATATCTTTCGTTTCATGTATTTTCTCTTATACATTCTCAAATGTGTACCTTTAATGCGAAGATCATAAGCATTAAGTAGACAATACGTGATTTTACATCATGAGAGACTTAAAGGAAACTTCGGGACAATATGAAATAACACAATGCGTGATCTTACATCAAAAGAAAGTTCAAGACAATATATGTGATCTTACATCAAGTACTAACCCGTCTGCATAAGAGCTAAGGCTAACTGAACTCTTTGTCTCCACTGGAACTAATCAACAAATCCCAGGAGAAATGTAGCCAAAGAAATAAAGCTGTTCCACAGTAAACATCCCCAAGCCAATGCGATTCAAAAACTGTGTTTGGGAACATTAATTGTCCCAGTTGTGTAGCACGTCATCTGGCATCCCGACGAAACAGGCCATGTTATTGTTGATTGCACGGTCCAGAATCGCAACCAAAAACTAAACCGTCTTGTGTGTGCTTGCTTTTCAATGATGTCATTTGTTTTCACCCCTGCTGCGAAAAACAAGCCTAACCTGCAAAATGTGTTTACTTTAATGACTCTTTCAATGAACCCCCCCCAATAACTTGGGCTGTATATACGTTTGCTGACTTTTGTTTTTGTTCTTTGTTCCGCTGGGTTTTAGTATATGTTGTGAAACAATGGTTACACAGGATTTTGCCAAGGTAACAAAAATGGCACATGGAGGAAAACCATTTTTCCTTCTTGGTTACATATTAATTACAAACCGAGAAGTGTGATTTGCTCGTAATACCTTGGACATCAAAACACCAGTGCAACTTACCACATTAAATGTCAAGGGTGCTGCATGTGATCTTTCTTATGTATCCATGGATATTAACCATGGGAAATTTACCTCCGGAAATATTGGTCATGCTCACTAAATGCAGTTTCCCATGGTAAAAGGGTCATTTACCATGGTAAAGAGTTCCGTGTAACTGAATCCTAAGGGAGTGAATTTCCTGGAAGTCCAAACATGTTTTTCCTGTAACTGTTATTTCGTCTGCAGCTTGGGATCTTATAACCAGGACTCTACAGTATCTTTACTTGACGTTCATCACTACAACACAACAAAATGTATGAATATTCACTGTAAAGCTACAATTTCTCTGATATATCCATAGCACATCAACTTTTATTTGACTGAAATGCCACACAAGTTTGCATTGCGGACCTATTTTTTGTGTGTGGAATGATCTGACTTGGAAAGATCTGAGTGTGGAAAGATCTGACCTAATTATATTGGCTACTTTCCTTGTGCTTTGGTGAGTAATTCTGGTGGTGTCCTTTTGGCTATTATGGTCTGACTTGTGCCTTGGTAAGTAAAATTTCATTGAAAATTGTTTATTTGCTGTGTGATATTAGCTTTGAAGCAATCAGTGCACACATCAAATCAAGGTGACTAGGTACATTGCTCCAAGCTCAAGGTTTTCAGAAATCCCCTTTGGGCATTTCCTTCTGTACAATGGTCGCCACTGAGACAAATTTGGTTGCCAAAATGTAAGCTTTTTCAAAGGAGGACAATTTGTTTCACTCAAAATGTAACTAATACTGCTGACCACGACAAGCCTGCATTGTTCCTCTGCTTCCAACCAAATGTGGGTGGAAACCTTTGGTAGTGGCATTGTTTTCTCTGATGGAAACTCAGTCTTCAACTGCAACACTTGCACTGGCACTCTGGTATACAGTGTTTCAACCAGAAAATTTTACTTGAGAACCAAAATGGCCCCTGAAAACCTTTTTTAGGGGGCAATTTTTGAGGACAGGGGCTAATAAATGGAAAGTTACAGGAGAAAAAAATGCGTCAGGGTACCAAGGAAAATAAAGCAGTTTAGTAGAATTTATGATAAAATTTAATAGTAAGTGCTTTTTGAAGTGTTTCTTCTCAATAAAGTTTCTTTTGATTCAGATACTCGGGTTAGTATGAAGGATCTCGGCATTACAAGAGAACAATCCATAGGCATACATGATGTAGCCAATGATTAAGGGTTTGCAATTATAGGGCAATTTCAAACATTGTCAGCCATTTGGAAGTTTTTGGTCACCAAGGATGAAATGTTAGTCGCACATGTAGTTGATTTTGAAAGACTGGAAAAATATATGGTCTGTGTGTGAGAATGGGATCGGCAAAGTGATCGTTCACTGTTAGAATAATGAAGCAAGCTGTCCTAAAGAAACTCACCTTGCATGTTTTGATAGTGTATCATTTGAACGGATGTTTCTTGGATCTTAAAACAGTAAACTATACACCGAATTAATTAATGGCAGACTGTTTGGGTAAGCCACAGTACGAGAACATGAAAATCTCAGTCTCAGTCATCAGTCTTTGCTTGGAAAGGAGTTCCCCTCGGAAGAGACCATCCCCTAGACCCAGAGCAAGTAGTCATGATGATGGAAAACTGACTCCAACCTCACTCGATTTGAGTGCAGTTCTGGGTGCATCTTCAGAAAGTGTGGATTTCAGTAATTCAGTGAATGAGTTTTGTTTTGAAGGTAATTTTGCAGCAGGCGAAAAATTAGCGGAAATTAGCATTACAGAAAACCAGCCATTGTATGATGATCTTTGAAAAAAGGTTGTTGAATTGGAGTGGTTACTTGAAGAGAGCAATTTGAAAATCGAAAACAAGAGGCCGAGGTGGAAGAATTTAGAGCTCATGCTGTCGGGCTTTCGGAGAAGTGTTTGAATTTGGAGAAGACAATTTTTACATTAGATAATTTTACTTGTAATGAAGACATCGCATTTTATAGTGGCTTTCCTACGTGTAACGTTTTCATGGTGACATACACATACTTAAATCCAGGAGAAAATGGGGAGAACATCCACTTTTGGAGTTCTGCCAGCAATGATGTTGACCCTGAATATTACAAAACAGATACTCAACCTGGTGCTGGACCAGCTTTAGGCAGGCCTAGAAAACTAAACTCTGAGGAGTAATTCTTCCTAGTCATGTGTAGGTTTGGGCAGCTGAACATCTGGCCATCCCAAAAAGTAGTGGATAATAACATACCAGGGCTGTAATAGATTGCACTGAGATCCGGGTTCAGATGCCAATTAGTTTACTTTTAAACAGTGAATTCTTCAGCAGTTACAAGAACCACACAGCACTTAAAGGGTTGATTGCCATTTCTCCTGCTGGACATATTTCATTTATAAGTCAGCTCTATACTGGCAGTATATCTGACCGGGAAATAACTGAGAGAAGTGGATTCTTAGACCATCCTTTTGGAGCCAATGATTCAATTATGGCTGACAAAGGTTTCACCATTCAAGATCTTTTACCAGTTGGTGTGTCTCCCATCCCCCCATTTTTAGGCAGTTC